TCTTTGCATGTGGTGCACCGTATTTTGTTCAACTATATAAGTGAGAATGATATTCCTTATGGAACTTGCACGTCAACATGTATGTTACTTGTATGCAAATAAATCAATGCCACAGTCTGGGCCAACCATCTTTGTAGCTTTTGTTAACATGACTGTTGGGGACCAGCCTGGCATCTTAACTTCCAAACTGAATGTGGGGTTGCATGCCTATCATATAAAGTACATTACTATGCGCATTTCTGCATGGTTTCTATGTAGTGGCTTTTTAATATGCATCTTATCAACATAACGGGACCACAGCATCTTCCGGCTATTGGTTTTATCAAAAATGATTGTCTCTATGTCGTGTCGTTTTGCTCATAAGCCTGCGTATCCAATCACTCCTTGAACTCAAATATGGATGCTATTGTCAATCCCGATTGTATGTATCGATAAACACTTTGGGGATCTCACAGGGACTTATTCTGACGAGCCCAACAAAAAAAACACCTGGTATCTAGGACTACTGCGGGCAGTCTCCTGACACGTGTATTTCATGTGGGCTGACCTTGTCACACGGATATAGCATATCCTCGATGCCACATCTTTTCCATGTCCCTTGGTGTGGAGGCCATACTGTACAAGCTCCCGCCCTCCCATGTATACACACTCTGACATTCCGGTGTTTTTTATTTTGAAAACCCTTTGAGCTTGAATTCCTACTGCCCGCTTTGGAAAAGTGCATACTACTGCACGCTCATTGTTTTCATGATGTCCCCTTCAGCTTGTAAAATAAAGAAAAAGCGCGACTCCTTCATAAAGACATTCATGTTAGATGGCCCTATAGAGCCACAGCATATGCTTGGAAACCCAACATATCCTCAATGGGGTCCTTTAGAGTCATTTGGAGCCCACAAGTTTAACTTTGCTGATTCCTAGGGCTCCTAAAGCAATTTGGTATTTCATGAACAAAAATCTCCCCATGTATTCGGCTTATACGGTGGGACTTTAAAAACCGAGAGTGAGACCGTGGTCTGCAATTAACCTTTCAACCTTGTACAGTTCACGTGCGGATTCTCCGTCAAAAAATGTCATTTTCAGATATGTTACCACAAGAATTGTGCTTTCATTTGCTTCATTATATGATCATGTGACTAGGAGAATAGCAGCTGCCGCAGGTGTGAGCTTTGAGAACCGACTGCGGCTACCCACAACCGGACCAAAAATCTTATCAGACAGACGGAGTGAGAGTTCGTTATCTGCCAGCATGCAGTAGAAGTCCTGCCACACTATAGCACACGTGGATGGATGTATACTTGGTATACCGCAATACCAACACCCGGTAAGTAATACATGTATTTTCCAACCCTGATCCTCACTGCCTGCCAGTCTGTCGTGTCAAGCATGTGCACCCACATCTTCAAGACAGCATCACCAGGCTTGTTCCTTTTTCGTGCTTTCTGCCCGTATATGTAAGATAGATACCTTGTGGAAGCGTGTTTCTCGCCTTGTATAAGTTACGACTCTCTGCCATTGGTGTTGGAGCGGACATGCTACCACTGTTACCCTAAATGATATGTGGGACTGTTGTTTCGCCGTTGGATGTATTCGTTTGTTGGCTTCACGAACTTGCACTTTTTCAATTTGACATGCATGATGACAATTCTGGATCGAACCTTGCCAACATCATATGACATAGTGGTGCATCCGGGAAGCGAAGCATTCTGAATATGCTACCGCGTTGAAAGCAAATATGCTTACTGCTGGAGCTGACTTCACGTGGAAATTGGTGGGACAAGTTTAAGATTTAAATTGCTTGATGAAGCTATATCTCCTTGCCATATATCATATTTAAATTTGATATAAATAAACCTCCATGCAGACCGGAAAATTGCACATTCAGCCCCGCGCGCGCGGGCGGAACTAGATTCAGAGACCAAAAGGCAGCCGAGCTAGCCTCCAGGCCTGATCGAAACAAAACAGGTTCCCCAAGTCAGACGGCAATGGCAAGCTGTTGCTACTTTTCTTTTCGGGGGGACAACGACCAAGAGGAGGTCGACATCAGTGACGATCATGACGACGCCACCTCCTCCTCCTCTTCCTCCTCCTCCTTCAACTGCTACGGCTGCTGCTGCTGCTGCTGCTACGGTTTCTGCCTTTTCTGCTCCGCATGTGGAACCACTCAACAGCGACATTGTGCATCAAGCCGGCATCGTATTCATTGCAGCGGCTCCCCTGGAGAGCGTACTAAATACACAACCTGGAACGAGGAGAATGTTGTCAAGGCAAGGTGCCAACAGCACCAAGAGTGCCTGCTGTGACCGACAGTGCCGAGCGCTACAGCGACTTTGCAGACCAGCATGGTCTGCCGCAGCTTAGATACAAGGACGGTACGGCTCGGATGAGTCGGATGAGTCGGATGAGCGCAAGCTGTAGAAGGGAGGATGGAGGGCAGCGGGTATGGGAAGCCTGCCCCCTCTCCAAGAGCCCCCCTTCACCTTGCAGTCAGACCAAGGATCGGACGACGACAGAACAGAACAACATTCGTTGCAGACTCCACTTCATCGGCACCAGGACTGATCCTCAGATCCCTTGCTGGGGTGCGAACACAAGGTGCCTTTTCTGTCGTCATGGTGGTTGTACCTGCGATTGTCTGCGATTGTCATCAGGAGACGATTCGGAAGCACGGATGACCCTCGAGTGACAGATGTGCCCGAATACAATGTGACAGCATGGAATTTCTGCGGCTGTGATCGCACCTCTGTTTTCGGCATGCAAAACACACGGAATGTATGAGCTGGCAATTCCTCGAAGTCCCACTTTATGGAAGGGGAAGATAGCCAGATAGCCACACCAAGTCTGTAATCGTGGTAGGTGGCATGTTGCACATGCCTTCGGCAGTGTGCAGTTTGCGAAACAACCACGAAATTCACCCAATCTGTGTTGCAAGGCGAAAATGTAGGTATTGATGATGAGTGGGGTTCACGTCAAAATCTCTTCTGCTGGTATTTAGCCGGAAACGGCAGACTACGATGCTACGCAAGCACTGTGAGGCAGAGCAATCAACTCATGACTTGTTCGAGATGCTTTGGCTCGGGCCTCAGGATGAGCGGTTCTCCCGTCGTGACCCAGTGAAATGGATGCTGCTTCGAGGCCGGATTCGCCAAAACTCAAATCAGTAATGGCTTTCGGCCAGGATTCCTGAAGCCTGCTTTGACAGCTTGTCTAGGATGTTGAGAAGCCTCGACTGGTTGTGCAGGTTCGTCGCCTCATGCGCAAATACACCCTTTGGCTTACCACGACAATGCAGAAAGGAGAGGCGACACATGACCTAAGCATCATGCCTGAAACACGTTCAACTTCTCACCGATGGTCTGCAGGGACATTTGTGCGGACACCTCGTCGGAATTTCATAAGCATGGAGCGATTGTGGGGATCTTTTCTGGGGCAGCCGGCAATATCGGATTTTTGCAGATCGCCCCGCAACCTCAGCGGGGGGGGACCCCGGGCGCTGAGCTCGGCCCGGCCCGTCTTTCTCGGCCCCGGACCTCATGAGTCCAGACCTGATGCCAAATCTGAGCTGAATGAGCTGAACTGACGCTGTGACTGCTGTTCGCGGTGGAGGCACACAAGCTCGGAGACACCCAGGTGCCCATCCGCATCTGCCCCGAAGGCTTCGAAAATCCCTGGCCGTGCTTCGAGCTCAATGTCCAAGTCCTGGGTTGCAGGACTTCACACAACTCTGACTCCAGGGAAGCAGGAGCACAGCGCTTTCAGCCAAATCTCGTCAAGAATGTTGCGGATCCTCGGAGTGAGACGGGAAGGATTGGCTTGGAACGCCAGGCTTCGTGCATTCTTTTTGCCTTCCCAGGTGCTTGGAATTTTGCAGGACTTGTGTAAACTCCGTCTCCGAGAGGGTGAGCTCCCGATCCAAATCCGAGTCGCCTGAGTCGCCGAGCCCAGCCGAGAGCTGAGAGCTGAGAGAGCCTCTGCTCGGCGAGCGCTTTTTGGGCCCCGTGCTGATCTTTGCCGATCCTTTCCGAAGAAAGGACTTGAAGGACTTTCGCCAGTTCGTTTGCGAATCTTCGAACGCATCAGCTTGTCTCATCTCCCTGGCAGGAGAACGTCGTTCAACTGCATGAGACCCTAACTTTAGCACAACCATCTGCAAACAGCCTCACAGTCTTGGACACTCGCACAACCTGGCAACAAAGGCAGACATCTCTCTATTTTCAAAAGGCTGAGCAAGGTTTGCAATGAAATGTCAAGGTTGCCGTGCGTGCACCGTTTTCAGACAAGCCACAAGTTCATTGAGCTTGCGAGTGACATAGTTGGTCTCATGCCTGAAGACGTTCGAGAAGCGCCAAGACTTGCAAAAACGACTGTCTCAGCCAAGGACAGCTTGGCATGTTTGCGCTGCACCTCGCGGGCACAGCGTCCATGCAAGATCCAGCAAATTAGGGCCCAGGCAGTCACTCAGGACTGGACGTCATTGTATTTGAGCCCAGAAAGCGTAGCATCCACAAACATCGCCTCGACGAACAGGCTAGCACCACGTCTGTAGTCTACACAAACAAGACCTCAGCAGCATCCAAGCCCAGATCAGTAATGATGTTCGTCATTCCGAAAATCATCGTCACCATGCTCAGACCATAGAACCTCATTGCCAGACTGCGCGAAGATGCGCGAAGTGTGCAGTCGACCGAAAGCTGGGGACTGGGGCACCTGCCCTTGAAATGTCCATCCATAGTGGTCGCTCAGTACTGCAGCAAGTGGCCTGCCGCCTGAGCGCAGCGTTCGGCTCGAGAGAATAGACATGATGCGATAAACAAGTTCACCCAAAATTCGGGGCAGTCAGCACTACTTTGATATGCAATTTTTTGTAGTCTCGTATGTTGAAGGTTCTTCCTGGTTGATGGACCATAGCATCCCCCCGGTTTCTGTGTTTGCCAAACCCTCCCTCCGCTTCACATTTCCCTCCTCCTCCTCCTCCCTCCTCCTCTCCATCCTCATCGCACCACATTCCTCTTGCACAGCTCATCTTCGCGTTTTGCACTATCCTTTCGAAACCTGCACCGCTCGTTCCCAGATGCTGCGTGTGCGAGACGTCAGAAGCCAAGCCAACCCCTGGTGCCCTCTGAAAGGGCCGCCTTTCGAGTTGCAGTCGCCGATCAGGCATCTGAAGACCTAAGAAAGTTACTTGAGGCCGGGTGAAGAAGTGGTGCAAAGGGCCCAGGGCCTAAAGCATCCTGGGACCGCCGACCGTGAACATGCACGTGAAGACCGTCCCGCAATACTCCCCCAAGTAGAGATATGCCATTGTGCATCCGTCAGTGGAGGGCTCGCCAGGCAAAGGAAAGTCGTAGTTGTCACCGCTACCACACCTGCAGGACACGAACGAACAGAATCAAAGGAAAGCTTACTGGAGCCGATTTGTGAGCCGCTTGGCACCACGGGGCTTGGTTGAGCCTGGCCTGCCGAACAGACTCATTGACTCGCCAGTGACGGTGCTTCGGAGAACGATTGCACAGACATACAGAACTCCACCTGGTGACAGGCAGCCACAGCCGCAGGCATGCGGCACGTAACAGAACCCCAGCCGAGCCACAAAGAAGGATCGTTACCCAAAACAGCCATGGAACGCCGATCACCATGGCCTTAACTCTGAGGTCTGCGGAACGCAACCACCGCCAGGGTTTCAGAGCCGAGTCTCAGAAATCATGTTGGCTAGCTCCGCCAACAACGGCCAGTGCATCAACTGCACAACGAGCTCAACAAGGATGCAACTGACTGCCGAACATGTCGCATGAATAATGTATGCACAAGCGGTTTAAAGACATGACACGTCGATCGTCACAACCTCATGCTCTCCAGCCTATTTGATAAGTGCCGTGGTGTTCTGTCCCGCCTTTATCAGCCTGGCCACTCGCGATAATCGCAAGCCGCGAAGGATCATACCTTTGCCCATGGCATCATGACATGTGCCGGATGTGCTGCGGCCTTCTGCCCTTCACTCAATTTTTAGAATGACCTGTTTTCGGCTTGAGAGCTCATGCGTGCCGAACTTGCAGAAGAAGCCGTCGTGCTGATGACCACGTCTACAACGGCGACGAGCGTCAATATTAGGTCACCTGAACCAACAACTGACCCAGCAGGCTTGCGGCCCTCTACACCATTAGACCATCCCGTGTGATGTGCTCATAAAGCCCAGGCCTATGTTCCAGGCATAGTCCGTGCCTGTGAAGTAGACCCACGGGCTCAGCACCGCCAGTTTTACCACCACCTCGACCACAAAGACCTTCGATTAGCACAGAAACATGCGAGGTATACCAACATCCCTGCAGCCAGAGCATCCAGGGCATCCTTACATGCACTTTCAGGCATGCAGCAAAGGCGAAGAAAGCCTCCAGCATCGTCCAGCCCATCCAGTCAGGATCGTAATCCATGCTGAATCCTACCCCAGTCGTGTTCCAATGTTGCTCCCGCCGTGTTGATCTGTGTGCGAGTCTGGAAAAGCGCCGAGGTCCTAGTATGACCAAGCTCAAGAGGATGGAGGTCATTGCCTGAGCAGCAGCAGCAAGCTATAAGTCCAAATCTCCCTACGACGCAGGAACGCCTAGCACGATACTCTAGCCGCTAGCCGCTCGAGCCGACTCCAGCCGAGTGTCAACGCCGTTCACGGTCGTAACAATTCTTTGTTGCAGCGTCTTCGTCTGCAAGCAGGGGTACTCGCACGCCATCTAAACGACAAACAATACATCGTTGCGTGAGGGGGGAAGGCTTTTGACACGACGGCCTTCGTTAGCGGAAAACTTGATCTCATCATTCGCATTCGAAACACCTGCCGCACGTGTGCATGGCCGGGGAGCCTCAGTTCGCTGCCTGCACCGACTCGCTTCCCCACTCTTGCCTCGTAGCCACTGAAGTGGACGACGCGGTCATCACGAAGCGTAGAATGAACATTAAACAGGTCCTGCACTGTGAGACACCGCCGATTCGCCAAAAGACAGGAGCCACTGCAGGCCATGTTCGGGTGACGTGGCCTGAACCATCTCAGCTCTTGCCTCACCGGAAAGATCCGGAAAGCTAGGACGTGCTCTTGTCTACCAGAAGCTCCGCAGCCTGCGTGGGGAGGTCGGGAATGGCTATGAGCTCCACGAAGGAGAGCCTATCGGAATTCGAAATGCCGCTCGGCAATGCCCCTCAGCCGTCGTAAGAGCCAGACCACGAAATGACATGCTGCTGGCTTACGCCTCTCTTCGGCGAGTCTCCACGAAGCCTGGCTCGAAGCGAGCTGCTGGTTAAGGAGGACTCCCTTGAGAGCCCCGTCGCTGGTGAAGCTCCAGTTAGTGCATAAGGAGGCCGTTAAAGAGAAACGGCGGAGCGATTCCAAAAAGAAGTGGAAGCGCTTCAACAGTCAACAAGCACCTGCGGTGCGACTTCATTCAGGCCTTCTTAAATCCACATCTTGATCTTAAGCAGGCACCCTTCTTGATTTCAGTCCATTAGAAAGGACAGCAGAGCTATCTGCACCAGGCGATGTTCTTGCGCACGCTGCATACTGCTTGCACCGGTCCAGATTCGCAGACCGCACAGGCACCAGAAATTCCGAGGCGTTAGAGAGTTCACCAAACATCGTGGAAGCTACTGCACCATGTCCTGGCAGCGATGACCCTCATCTCGCGAATGATGTCTTCCATTCTCTCCTGGTGGAACGACGGCTCCATGCTAAAAAGCTTGCAATAGAGAATGCGGTGCCTTGGTGAATTCTGATTTATCTTTGCGCGGCGCAAATCGTCGATTCCTTGCTTCGGCACTGCTCCCACACTTCTGGCAAGATGCAAGAACGCATGCCAGGAATGACTACAAGATCATGCAAACGATGTCTTTCCACACCTTACCACGACCAATCGAATCTTGTGGTCTGGGACAAGCACTTTTGCCGAACAACTTCTTGCCTGAACACACTTTCCACTTTCCCACAACTCTCACAAACCACGTCGCCGCTGCATCACCGCAGCTAGCTCTGCACCGGTAATGACCTTCGCAAACAGTCAAACAGAATTTCACTCCGGTGCTGGATGAAATTACAGTGCTTTCGTGCCAAGCTGCCTTCGACTGTGGCTCCTTGCATCACTTGACGGAGACGGTGCGGAGACAACATCAAAACCTCCCACATGTCCGCCAGTGCTCCTGCACAGCGAAGACCTTCTGAAGACGCTCGGTCAGCTGCATTGATATGCTCATGACCTCGCAGGCCGCATGTAAGCATCACCTAGCAACCACGGCAAAGGTTGTGGACCCACTTGGCAGAATCAATCTGCATGTGCAGATGGATCCAAATAGCCCGAACAGAATTCCACATGGCAGCTAAAGCTGTTGTGCTCGCGTCTGAGCAAAATGAAACCATCAAGACAGACACGAAATCAACCTGAAAGTTTGTTAGCTCTCACTACCACGAAGGCATTAAGGCCCCAATCTGCATGCTGGCTAGTAAAACACGACATGTGTGTTTCTGTGAGCAGGGCTCCAGTTGCATGCGGACGCATGGCCATGCAGTGTCTTCCAAGCGCTTTGGCAGTCAGGCATGCGATGGGTAGTTGCGTGCCCCCGCCAGAGGCCAAAACCCAAAACTTTTGATTCTGTCTCCATCTCTATCAACACATCTCCCATCCCTGCAGTGGCTCAGTGCTTTTGAAATCAGCTGGCAAAACGAACTCATAACAGCCTACTTGTAACAACATTATGGCCAATACGTTGCTGCTCAAGAACACCTCTCCTCCTGTTTTGATCGGTTGCTGCATCATCCGTGTGCAGGTCAACACCAGACAACCAGACAACGGAGCTGCTGCCAAGTTACGTTGCCAGCTTCCACTGTCGATACTCGTCTACCCGTGGGCGTGACTTTGACAGCAGAGTGCCCGGAGTCCTGACATTCATGAAGTCTTTGTTACATACACAGTAGGCGAATGAAGATCGAGCTCGAAGCTGTCCGTTGATCTGGTTCGTGGACGGCCAGTTTGCGGGCTTGCCAAACGGTACTTGCTCCCATGTTCTTCGATTTCCTTCGCAGCATTCAGCAGTGGAGCTGCAACGGCTGTCAAAGCATGGTGCGCCTCCGTGTCACCAATCTTGACATGTCGACTTGGCTGCTTGGATACCACATCCGCTGCACTTGCAGCTCCATTGTGATTGTGATCATCCTCTCCTTGGCACTCAAAACTGTCTCGCACAGTCCGCGACATCGGCGGCGATGCCACCCTGCTCACAAGACGATTTGACTTTCCTTAGGCCGGCACCGAGAGAGTCTGGAATGGCAGGAAGGCTACCGAAAGCTCGATGATCCTGCCGCGGTGTGCTCGCCGGAGACGATGCAGGCGACACTCGTGAGGAGCCTCACTTGTGAGGAACTTAGTCAAAGGCTCTAAGCACGGTGCTATGTTGATCAGTGCTCCCGCGTCAACTCTGCAGCAGGGCTACTAGTCGAAGGTCTGCGATCCTCCCCCGGTAGCGCAAGCAAATCGACCGTCGGAGGAGGCTTGATTTGCTCCATGTCATGCCTGAATCTACAGATCCATGCGATCTCGGCTGTCCAACTAACGATAAACTGTGCTGCATCCCATCAGACCATGTCGGAAAGCATATGCCTCTGTGGAAGAGGCAATGCCAGTTGCCGGAGGGCTTCTGGCTCATGCCCAGCCAGCCTGTGTAGAAGGAGGATCGACAGATCGACATGTCAAAAAGCTTCCAAACGCAACTGGAAGTTTGTTGCTGGCGGCGCGCTCTTCTGCGGCTTTCTCAAGGCCAGGGGCCCTGTCCTTCTCAAAAAGCACAGTAGCTGTTGGGATGCCTCGATTCTTTCACGGTGCACTGAAGGCCTTAGAGCCGGGTCGATGACCCGTCAGCTGCTGGAGGAGCTTGTCATGTTCCTCCTACACCACTAGCACCATGCCACTGCGTGAATGTCTTAGTCTCTGTCCCTTCTATGCGTGACGAATCATTTTCAGTCTGTGGTGACACATGCGCACCCCAACCCCAAGGCCCCTTCCGAGACGGCTCTCCAGTGTCTCACATTCCAGTCGTAGGTTTCGGTAAACGAACACTTCGGACGAAGTGATGGGCACAATCTTTTGGACTGTGGGCTATCCCAGGTATACAAAACTATGTTTGCACCGCCCGGGCCGATCACGTGGCTAGGTTCTGCAGCACTCAGCCGGGGTCAAGAGAGCGCTCCTTCCAGCAGCCTGAAGCAAGCGGGTCGTATGCTGCAACTGCAGTTCGCAAACACCGGCAACACTCAAACACCAGGCCCACGTGTCAATGCTGCCAAATCTCGAATGGCACGGCGGTGCTCCTGGTACAGGGCATTTCAATCAAACTTCATGACCGCCATGCAGCGATTTCCGAAGAACGCCTCTTGCCTTCAAGCCTTCATAAGCTGGCCCTTCCTTCTCTGAACCGGTTACAACACCAGCCGGCCGTCCAAACGAGCTGACAACAAGAAGACCTAAGCGTCTTGTGACTGGCAGCATCCTTCTACTTCTGCGCCTTAGGGTTCAAGGGATACGGGGATTGAATTGAGCGATGTGCTCTTGAAGATGCGTCCAACAGCTGATGGCTGAGGACTGGGCTGCGATGTCTGTACTTGGCTACTTTTCCAGAGTCGAGTGTCCAGACGGGCCTATCTTGGTTGCCACTAGTCCTGCCCCAGCTCCAGAAGTAGCTGCTCGAAGCGAGTTTCCATTCCCAGAATTCCCAGCGGGTTCTTGCAGTCTAGCTGCCTAGCTTGACAAAAGTCAGTAGTCCGTTGCAAATTAAACACCATCCTTCCAACATCTGCTGTATCATTTGCAAGCAAGTGAGCAAGGGCTGGTATGATCGTGACTGTGCCTGGTCCATGTGCTCTCTATCCAGCTTCGAAGAATCGTAAAGCAGCGGCGATCTGCTTGTCGACTTCATGCTTAGCACGCCCAAATGATAACACGTGCAAACAGGTCTGCCGGGCACCGTGAGAACCTCCAGTGCCACCATCATCCTGAACGGTGCGGTGTTCACGACGCAGCTGCCACTGCTGAGGGTAACATGCAAGCAGAGCCTCTGCAGGACTGAAGTTTGCGGCTGCACGGCTTGCAGCTAGACCTACAAAAATCAGAGATAGTGCTGATATGCACAAGAAAATGCGCAAACAGCTCCTCAGCAAAGCAATCCGGTCGACGCCGCGTGCTGTGACAAAACACGTACTTCAGCCACATGAGCTTACAACATGGCCTCGTTCGGGTCGCCTTGGCTCCTCGACTCAAGCAAGTGCAGAGCTCTCGTGGAGCACATGCCATAAACGGAAATGCTCCAGCTGTCGTGGCTGAGAGGCGAACACTTCGAGAAGGCCTTTTGTGCACATGGATGGAATCAACACTTGAACTGCAGCACAGCAGTGCGCTTGACGCATGAAAGCCGTGAATCAGACAAAACATGCACAAAGCGCCTGCTGTTCTGGCTTCTGGAAGGCCGCAGCTCATCTGCCTGAGCCAACATGGGCACTCGCCGTTGACACGCTGCCGACTCTGCCCCGACTCTGCTCCTGGCTCTTGCAGGCTTCCTTTGCGCATTCGCCGCAAGCCGCGAACTGACATGCGCAGAGCAGAGATGCTCTATGGCTCGCATGAATCAAAACCAACCTGCGCTTTGGCGGGGTGCCGGACATCCTGTTAAGCATTGGCGGCACATGGTATCCCGGCTTGCCGAAACACTTGTACTGTCCAGCTTCGCGGCGGTTGCGACAAAATGGCCTGGCTTCAGACAAAAAGTTTGTGTAGCAGACATAAAGACCAGAATGACCGCCCGACTCAGCGGCCCACCATCTCACCGACAACTTGTCTGGGTTTGCGGACTGAAGCACATGGCCCGAATGGAAGAGTCTGCCAGGTCAGTGGTGCTGAGGATACCAAGCTAAAGTCGACATATTTCATATTATGGAAACATATACCAAATATTGACACAGCACGTATCTCTGTTCTGAGTGCCACGAAAGAACAGGCGAGATCTGAAGCAACCTCCATCATTTTCGGATCTTGGAGTTGAAGCATGGCAGGGTTTCATGTCTCCGGCCACAGAGCAGCTGTGCATCCATCATGGACTAGAAGCAAAAACAAAAAGTTGTTGATCCCCTGCACGATCCTGTAACGGGTCCATGTTTGCAACGCCTCGCTTCGCAATGTCTTCAACCCTTCCTCGCAATTGTTCTTGTGATTCTTGTGGTTGCTGCAGCCTGCACTTTGCCAAATTCTTCCGCAAACAGGGATCTCTGGAGCGAAGGCTTGTACGAAGTTGGCACGGTCCTGCTTGGTGCTAACTTCGGCAAACCCTTCTCAACATCTTGGAGCATTGCCCAGCATGCAAAAACAGAGCTTCTACAAGCATAGCAAAGGCCACGCGGATTTCAATGTGCTTCAGCCTTAAAGCAGACTAATTCGAGCTGATTATGACTTAGTTTCTTTGTTCAATCGTAACAAAAACAAAAATCAAAGGTTGGAATCAAAAGTCATGTTCACTCCAACATATTTCGAAAGTAATTTTAAATCTAACCCAAGTTGACATGCAATGCAAAGTTCATGACTTTTCCTCCGCAGAGAGCATGGAGGTGAATCTGGTTTTGGCGTTTCTGACTCCGACACGCCATGGCCACGCCTGGCAGCGACTTTAATTCCAACTCGAGTGCCAGCTGTTACCAAGAGCCAGCATCGAAGGCCACAGGCATGGCATAGAGTTAGATGGAAACAGAATATACAAAGCTGCATGAGACAGCTTTTTGGGCCGGAAAACTTGGCTGTGGAAAGTCTCATCAACATTCTGAGTCTTGCGCCTTCTTGCAGCAAGGTTGCTCTGGCATCTGCAATGCGCTTTGCACCAAGCTGCATGCTGACGCCATCCAAGTTGCGCTTGAATGTGTCCTAACGGAAGATCCAATGTACATGTCCAAACAATTTTGTCAAAATCATGTAGACACAATGAATCGCTGTTGGAGTGAACAAATGAAGACAACATGGCTTCAGTACATTCAAGTGTTGGCAATTGGAAGTTTGCATTGGATTCTTGAGAGTTCTGGCTTCTTCTTAACTCAAATGCTGCACTTTGGTGTCTTCTCTGTACCTGCAGAAAAACAAATTTCTGTCTTTTCGCGCATCTTCTGAGATTGCTCAAGACTGAGCAGGCCTTTCAACCTTCCCCAAATTCGTCTCTACTCTGCATTTGGATGCTCCACATCTCAAACTTTTCAAAATTGGTAACAAGATGCTCTAAAATTGCGCAAGCGTACAAACCAAGGCAACAGAAGAGAAGACAAATTAAAATTTTCCAATCTTCCGTTAGAGAGAAACCTAAATGACAACTTCGAAAACCTTGAAAAAAGTGGCAAACCACAGAAACTGAACATCTACGCAGAGAAAATGTTGAAGGTTGTGGGCAGTGGAACAATGGACCGCGTTAGACTTGCTCACTTGTGTTAACAACGCCAGCACTTGACCACACGGCGCCGTTCTTTCACGCTCTAAATTACAAAAACAGTTGAGATACTGCTGTGCAATCTTCTAGCACTTGGCGAACCAGAAATTTCCAAACCCAAAGAAAAACAATCTGTGGAATGGGTTTCTGATTTCCATGCTTCCGCTTTCTCTTGTGCGAAGTTTTCTCATCCAGTAGATTGGGTTTGGCGTGTGTTTTTGTCTTTGTTTCAAAGTTTTAGTAGTCTTGTATGTTGGATGCGTGTTCAACTGTGGCGTTCTCATCCAATCTGACATGCGCGCTTTCAGAAAAACCGATTTTTTTTTTGGTTTCCAACATTTTTGCATTGCGTTCTTCCTTGACACACTGTCAGACATTAAAGATGCTTGCAGAATCAAGTTCGAAGCAAAAATGGAAGAATGACAAGCTTCCGGCCGGCCAAGAAAAAATTAATCAATTAATTAATTGCTGTGCAGTGATTATTCTTAGCCGGGCGTGACCTCTCGGGTGGTAACCCTACTCTGAAGAGTCAATGTTTTCGTCAATTCTGACTTTGCTCCGTCGACGCACAGCCTGTCACGCAGGCAGCGGAAAGTCCGCTTCCCTGAGTGCCTGCCGGTGCAACTCCGTGGCTCGAGCATGCAGGCTTCGAGACCCCGACCACACCCCTGTGCCGAATAGTCCCAGCGTTGCGTACCTCTCACAGGCCCCCGGCCCCACCGCTCGGGTGCGCCCGCGGACCACAGGTCCAGCAACTTGACCAGATTGGCTTCGGAGGGCTCCTCC